AAAGTATGGAATATTTTCGCAATTCTATGGTTGTTCAACAATGTACCCGAAGGTGTGCACAATGATCCGATTTACTGAATGAACAACCGAAGGCTATTAGTTTGTCCGGAAATACTCCGTAGGTGAAACCTACAGTACATACTGTTGTTCACAGCAGACGTGAAAATACTATCTATTTTTATATTATTTTGTCTTCACTTCAAATCAGCGCTCACAGCACTAGTATGTGCCGTTTACTCCAACCCGTGGTCACACAGAAGGGTCCGTCCCTCTCTGCCCTCCCCTCCTGCGGTACGTTGCCTTCGATTTTTTAAGGCGAGAAAGTTCAGCACACTCTTCCCTCTGGGTACACACGAACTAGCGTTATATCCACTAGACCAGGAGGAGCGGAAGCGAAGAAAAACTAGCTTTGCAAGAAAAGCTCGCTTACGCCGGGATTCGAACTCCTGACCTGACCTCTAGAAGGTTTCGAGGATACCAACTAGACCACCGGGGCGACCGGGCATATTGACTGACATTGAGTATTCAGCAAGACCAAGACGAAACAGTGAAACGAACGATGGTACCCCATGCCATCTCTCCCATTCGTACGGATTTTCATTATTTCTCGCGGCAATGGTGCACAGCAGACCGTTCCCTTGTCAACACACGGGTGCATACGATTGGGTTCGTCGTCAAGCCGGTGATTGTGTGGTGGTCTACATTCGTTCACTTTCATTCTATGTAGTTCCAGAACAGCTGCACAAAACTTTCACTGCCCACGGTGATCACGGCACATTGTGAGATACTGTGACAGGTAGAAAGTGTGGGACACACCCGACCCCTACCTGGAGCAGATGTCGCCCGGTCGATGTCATGTTCTCTTTCTTGTTCTCTTGCTTGGGCTCCCCTTGGTCTCACTTGCTCACTGCGCTCGCTTCGGTGGTGACAACTGACAAGCATTGGGCAGGAAATAACACAGACAATCACAAAAACTGGTACCCCAAAAATCATTCTACAACAATATCCGTGGGTCCTGACTTCTCATGGATCCTGAGTATCCGCGGGTCCTGGGCTATTGCCCTAGAGCACCTGCGCCGCAAATCTACCTGGCAACTTAATCTATCCGTATCCTGGAGCATACGATGTGATACATGAAAGATATTTTAACCGCGGCGGGGCGTCGCCCGTTGCGGAGGATGGGCAGAAATACTGTAGACGTTAGCATGGGTTGCCATGTTGAACACATTCACTCTCACAGAGTGGCAAGTGCACAGCAGGTCAAATGCCTGCGATCGGATGACAGCTGCCAGTGCAACAAAGGAAACATGCATATATGCATATGAATGTTGTGGATCATGCTTAGATAACATTTATTCGTGGGGTTCCCGTGCAGTAGTCGTTCGGTGGTCAACCTTCACAAAGCCTACAGTTAGCCACAGGTGTTGGTAGCAATCCTCCTCAGTTGGAGGTCGCCTTGACACAATTTTTCAAAGAATGAACGCCCTTCTTCGAAACCAACCAACGCTTGCTCAACACATGAAAATGCATCCATTTCATTCATTGTGAAAATACAAGCTGGTCCGGCCACGACGGCCGGGACTCGCCAACATGGGCACGTGCTACTGAGTTTTATTAGTTCGGACTTGAAATTTGACACGTTATTTGGAACGTTCTCACCAAGACGCCACCGGATGGACCCAAATATGTTTTCTTTTGTCGAGGTATGCCCGTCTTTGTGTTCCTGGAAAAGTGGAAGTGGGCCAAAGACGGGCATATCTCGACAACGAAAACAAAAAAATGCTTGGCTCCATCCGGCGTCGTCTTGGTGAGAACGTTCAAAATCACGTGTCAAAATTTCAAGTCCGAACTCGAAAAACTCAGCGGCGTATCTCGATGTTCGTGCCAAGATCGATGTACAGCGAAAGATACACACATTGCAGGAATTCAGCCGTAACTCTTGAACCACAATGAACTACGTTGTGGTGCGGCCGTCATTCTTCGCCTGGCATCGGTGGCTACACGCACACCAAAATTTGAGCGAAATCGGTGGACTTCATTCTGTCTTGAAAATATGGATCAGCCCAAGGCTGCTACTCCGGAACCCCATGAAAGAAAGTACTCCCAACTGACACGCAGCTTTCACACCACCATGTTGATGGATTTCCAAGCGCAAGACGTGTGTGAGCGTCATATTCTGGCCATCAGTGGGATATGATCGGCTCACCGTCATTTGCTGCCGTTCAAGAGATGTGATCACATCTGACAACGTATGGGATTTATTGGCGGACCAGCTTGTATTACTTCAAAAAGTATCCATCTTCATTTAAGAGAACCCTACGTTTGTGAATCTGGCAGCCATCAGTGGGATATGATCGGCTTGCCGTCATTTGCTGCCGTTCAAGAGATGTGATCACATCTGACAACTTATGGGATTTATTGGCGGACCAGCTTGTATTACTTCAAAAAGTATCCATCTTCGTTTAAGAGAACCCTACGTTTGTGAATCAGGCAGTCGTTTTCTACGGCCTCGAGCTGGAGGAACTGTCGTCATTTTCATATGCAACAGCGCAGTCATACAATATCATGGCACCAGACAATCAGCAGCGAAACAACTGCCACGATGAATTCATTGATAGCAGTCGGAAACCAACCGTTTTTTACACTTCCCGCTTCGTTTGTTTGCCCCCCGTCGAAACGGGCTGTGGTCATGTTATGTCCACCTCGTATTTGTTTCCACCAGCCTCTACATACACTGAAGAGTGTAGTACATGTCTCGCCACGAAAAATGGGCGGACTGTCGCCATAATACATAGGACGAGAACACACACAACACCAACCTACGCTGTGCCGCAGAAACGACGACGTTGAGATGCTATGCTTCAATGCAGGTGATACAGCATCGAAATCTGCTCCATCTTTCGTTGCGAGCTTCCCCGTGCTCCGACTGTGCGCACACCGGTCTGCACGATTGATAGACCCACCCTCTAGTAATCTGATTGGGGCATGTAGGGGTAGTGCCAAGCACATAGATCGTACCACCTTCACTGTAAAGGTTTCAAGAAATCTGGGGAGTGCACGACAAAATATCACAACGGACGTCATATACTTCAAAGAATGGCCCACCCGTGAGATGCCCGAAAAAGCAAAGCAACGTCCCCGCCACTGAAGGAATTAAACACAGACCCTTGGGTAACGTCCGTGCCTCGTACTTTCGAACACACCGTTCAAATATACTACTGCTGCTGTAGTGCACGGCTTAGGTTGCCGCTACGCCATTGCTACTGCTGTGATATGGATCGCGAAACTACACAATGTTACATGTTACGTACGGCTACGTATTACGGCACACACAAATCAGGGATATCCCCGACAGAGCCTCCATGGTCTCCCATCGAAATACACCCGATATTTCATTGTACAATCACGAAATATGAAATGATTCCGCTCCGTGGGTGACGAAAACAAAAAGAACCACTCGTACTACCGCTTGACATTCCGCCCCGTCGGAGCCCTATATACAATAGATAAATGCACGAATCAGTCATATCGCAGCCTTTTCCGCTGGACAAAAGAAACCAAACAAGAATGCTTGTGCCTTTCACGAAAAACGACGGGAAAATGTAGAACACGCTAATCGTTTCGGTCGTGTAAAACGCGACATGAAACTCCCTACGCGGATCGAATAAAACAAACCACCTCCAAAAATACCGTACAAATGACCCAAACGCTTGTAAGTGTCACGTGCGCTGACCGAATAAACACGAACTGAAAAATGCGTTCAAGGGGGTTGTGGGAGCATCACGCAGTACCCGCACGGTGCGCGCGTCACCTCCCCAAGCACTTCCGCCCAGGAAATAAAAGACAGTTCTAGTAGGCGTCTGTCGCCAGGGGTAGCCATTATCCCTTCGCCTCTTCGTTACACACGGTTGCCGCATCGGCGAGCACCAGCTGTATAGTTCCCACCGCCACCCCGGCCGGTGGCACAACGCCTAGAGAAGACCGAAGTATTCATCGGCAGTGAAACGGAGTCTCGGCGCTTCGTCGTTCTCTGGGGGTGCAGCCGCGGTCGATCTTCCGGGCCGGCTCCAAACACGACGATGACCGTGCAGATGTTGCTGCTGCTGCTGCTGCTGCTGCTGCTGCTGTTGCGGCCACGGATTGTCCTGTCCCTCCCAGCTAGCACCGCTGTTCAGGACCGGAAGCTCGCCGGAGGCACCGTGAGAGAGGGAAGCGGAACCGCTGACGCTGCCATTGTCGACGAAGGCACTGTCATGGGATAACCCCGACGATTGGGGGGCTGGAACGAGGTGCCGCCCTACGTGCGCGAACGACGCTTCCCCGTCACCACTGCCCTCGTGGAAGCTGTAGATCCCACCGTGCCTGCCCCCACTGTGTGAAACGGAGGACATGTCCTGGACGGAGCCATGCTGCGCGGCTGTTGCTGCCTGCGAGTCGGGCGAGTCAATTGAAGACAAAGGACGACCATGACCCGCGGGAGGACACGACGGACGCAAGGGATGGTGAGGATGGGAACGTGCGTTTCGGGACGAGAAACAAACGTTTCGGCGCGGGTGAACCCAGTCTTTGGCACGCTGGCGACGACACGGCAGGTGAGAGGCAGCACTAAGGATGTCGGCACTACTTCGACACAGAGGGCTCGGAACGATCCGAAAACCCCACGCAGAAAAAGAACGGGGCGAACATGAGGCCGGGGGCGGTTCACTGGCTGATCAACACCACCACCGCAAGTATCCCGGGACTACACCACCACGTGACCTGAAGTTGCTAGCAACATTGTGTCAGAAAGAGGTGTGGGGCTGGCAGATGAAGCTCGAAAATTCGTGCAGAGACGTAGCAAACTCGGGAACGAGAACGGGTGTACACAGGAAGGACCGAAACGTATACAACGATTCTCGAGTAATTTTTCACTGTGCTAGTCCCCGCGAGGCAAAACTGAAACTAACAAATGCCGGATTCAGGAACGTGAGAGAAACCCGTCGATTCTCCTTCAGGTTGACTCAAAGCGAGACGCCTTCCCCGACGGAATCGAACAACCGTACCTGTCTTCGGAAAAAAATAGAATATAAAACGAAAAAGACACCACTTAAGATGGTTCTGGCGGTCCCAAAACTAAACATGAAACTACTGGCCAGAAACAATAACAAAACACACCACCCTCTGTACATTGGGCATTTCCCTCTCGCTCTCATTTAGCTATCTGCCTCTCTCTCTCTCTCTCTGTGTCTCTCTCCCTCTCGGGGCCGGACCCTAACCGCGAACAGCCACAGGAACAGGGGGCATTGTAAAATTCTAGCAGCAATGCGCATACAAACCTGAGGAGAATGAACTGATTCGCCTTGTGCAACGTACTGCTGAGCGTAGGCTTCGATCTGGGGCGAGCTGCGAGAGGGAACGAAGACCGCGATAGCGTCCCAGTTTCCGTAGCCGTACACCTCGAGACCGTGGAGGAACCCGTTGTGCTCGTCTTCCGTCCATCCTTCCGTGGTCAATGGGATCCTGCAAAAAGGTGACGGCAAGAAGATTATCACACGGAACACCCCCCCGCTTTGTCGTGTCTGACGAGGGACAGTTCGTTCAAACAAATGTGGTTGGTGGGAGTTGCACCTGTGGGTTCTCCGATTGGACTGTGTTTATTCCTCACCTGGCTTCGATCATCTTAGGAACTGGGCCGGTGTAGCAGTTCGCGTCCGCAGACAAAAAAGCATCAACTCGCTCGCTCCAGGATTAACTCATGCTTCGAGTTTGGTGAGGTTCCGATACCCCTTTCGTAAAAGCCAGTGTCGTAAGTTTGGCGGCAGTCAAGATCTCTTCTCAACACAGTTTATTGTCATTGCAGACCCCGACAGTTTGCACCATGCAGTCAACGCGTCCTCGACTCAGGCAACGGAAGGGCAAAAACCGCTGCCCTTGCTTGGAAAGTGGAGGGAACCATGGGTATGGGAGACCTCTTTCTCACTTGCTTTGCTTTTCGTCATCGAAGCATCGTTCTTTCTCTCTGCCGTGAAAAAACAGGAAAGACAAGCGAGATGAACAACGCTGCATGAACACGAAAAAGCTCAAGCATCAACGCAAGAAAATGACAACCAGGTGTTATGTGAGCAGCTCCAAAATAACGTGACGGCGCTCATATGTACACTACAGTGCATTCGATCCCCCCCCCCGTATTTCGCGACCATAGCTTAAGGGCCTGCTGTGGAATACAATGCTGGCCGTGCAGAAAAGGCAGTGAAGACCCCGGACCACAACGCACCCGACATAATCGTGATACTACAGGAAATCGCACGTTGCATATGCTGAATGCGGAGTTCGGCGGTATGCGGCCGCGGCTGCGAAAAGGTTCTGACGCTGTTTTCGGCTACCTTCGGGGGCGTCAGTTGCTGTTCGTGGGGGTAGCGAGCTTCTTGCGCGTGTGGATCTCTCTCCCCTCTTGCTGCTTTTCGGATTTCTTCTGCCTTTCTGGTCCCGATCAACAGATTCTTATTGATAGACACGCGTCCGGTAGGGATCGAGGGCGGCGCGGCTGGTATGCGATGCGCTCAGTCTGCTATAAAGAAAAGAAGACTCTTGAAGGCGGATAAAGGGCCTGAGGGCATGTCGCGTGAGAGTCTACGCATGGAGTTGGCCACGGAAAGTGATGAGAGTTTTCTGCTGAGCGCACCCGCATAGCATACAGAAGTTTGCGACGAAACATGGCCAACAAACGCTCCCCACTCTCGCACCCAACCCGAACGCACCCGACCTTCTCCTCCGACACGCGGACCTTCCTAACCGGCATCGGATTTCCGGCTTCTGAAAAGTTCAAGAAATACAATCGCTCTCAGGCCATTTCTTGCGATGTATTTTTCTCTGGATCTTTCTTCCCACAAAAAAGACAGCCCAAACAAAGATGCACAAAAAAGATCAGCCCCTTCTTACGAGGTCTTTTTTTAGAACTGGGGTTTCCTGATGATTTTCGGTGGCGTTCGGCGCGCGGGGGCACACTGGTTTTTGAATTTCCGCCGCTCACAGCACACACCTCGCACACCACCAAACACGACGCTTCAGCGCCACTCTGCACACAGCAGTCGCATCCCGTACAGCAGACCATGAATGCTAAGAAACGAGATGGCGTACAGTCTCTCCCGCTGGAGTTCAACTCGTATGCGGAGACAGTGATTTCGATGCTGCGGGACAGGAGGAGCTCCGGCCTGACGGACGCCAAGTTGCTGAAGCACCTCCAGAACGTGTGCATCGTGTACGCGTGTTTGACGGTCAAGCGCAACGCCGGGATTGTCTCCACACAGGCCAAGCACGCGGCAGCGGCGAAGGGGTACAAGGACATCGCTGTCCTTGGCTTCTTCAAGTGGCTCAAGGAAAACTTGGAGGCGGATCAATACTTCTCGCAGCCGTGGCTCACGTTCGAGGTTATGGGAAGGACGTCGATGAGCGGAGGTAAGACACAACCAACGCGGGAGAGAGAGAGGCAGGTTTTGAGTGCGTAAGAAAACCGTTATGATCGAGACAGGCTGGGTTCGGTGCCTTCATGGTGTGCTGTTCAACATGACATGCTCAACGTAGGGTGTAGGGCACCGGGTCCGGCCAAAGTTGTCTTTTTGCTGCTCTCACCAGGCCATGACGGGCTGCTGCCGCAAGAAGAACCAAGATACTTGCTGCGGTATGCATAGGATACCTTGTCAAGTCACGGCCCATTCTTTGGGCGGCAATCACAGGATGCAACTCTTTAGTAAGTGCACCAGTCGTAGCGTAGCTTGTCGAGGCTCAGCTGTATGGCTACCCGAGCGTGGTCATATTCTTGAGCAGATCATACTGTACTGACTCCTACCGATAGGCACATGGAGAGCAATCTTCTGTACAGCGTCGACGCAACAACAATGCACGCCCTCCAGCAGGGTATGTTTGCTGCTACTGCTGACCATTAACTGCTACTGCTGCTGTTCGACTTTTGCCTACCCCATGTTGCTGCGACGCAGACGCGGTCCTCTTCACCCACGGCAAAAAATTGTGGAAGCGGTTCGACAACATCATGCGCGCCTTGAAGAAGTTCTACAACCCCGTGTGGGACAGGTGTGTCGGTTGTCTTGTTTTGTGTACGTGCTAGAAGCGCCAGTACAGCTGTCGCGCTGCTATTTTTGATGTGTTTCGTGTGGGTGTTCTCCTGTTCTTTTGGGGGTTGCACTGCTGCTGTGGATGAGCAGTAGACTGTAATCACGCCCTCGCAAGAGGTGCTCGTCGGCGGCGGCGTATCTACTCCTGTATGTGACGTAGCTCACGTAGTGCGGAAGGACTGCGCGTACACGCCACAGAAGCACCCATGAACAACTCCCATAGGCAGTACTCAACAAAGAAGCGAGGTCGAACAAGGCGGATATTCAATATGAATGCTGGCTGTGTATTTTGTTCTGAAGGATAGGCAATACTCAACAAAGAAGCGAGGTCGAACAAGGCGGATATTCAACATGAATGCTGGCTGTGTATTTTGTTCTGAATGAGTAGTCTATCTATGAAAGTACAAATCAGTATTGTTGCGTGTAATTTGCGTCGACATGTTTCTCTAAAAAATGTCTACATGCGCGCGCGTGTGCTTGTTGTGTGTTGGCATGGGCATCGACAGCGCTGCCTGCCGGTTTGATGTTCTTGGTTTCATTCCGTGTACCCATGGCATTGCAGAACTACATTTCCAGATGTCCACTGCCCGATCACCATGCATGAATACGACGGGCAACTGTGTTGAAGAACTGCTTAGTCGTGTAGGCCCTTTCTTTTCGCGGCCCCTCGCTGGAATCTCCCCCTCTCCCTTGAAAAAGAAAACACACCACAGGTGGGAAAAGCTCTCGAGATTAGTAAGCGGCCCCAGCGCGTAGAACATGTTGTGAGCAATAATAAAGAAGCCCCCCCGCAGTGTTTCTCCCGAATATTTTTTATTGCGCATGGAAGTTGTCACGGTCGGACACACAATGCTGTTGCACCCTACGCACCAAGTCAAAGCTTTCGTAACAAACCCTTGTGCGTTTCGAAGTTTGTCGCTTTGCCGTCGTCACGCCGACCCGCTCCCGTGTCAGCGTACCATGTAGAAGATAAGAACGACAACCATGTGCATGACGGTACGCTATTGGTTTTCTTTGGCCGAATGGCATGACTCTCGGAAAAATGTAAACCTCGACGAAATATGCAGTGGCGTGTATACCTGACATAGTTTCCGGGCCACAGCCTTTCGATCGGAGGTAGCGTGACCAGTGGCGAAAGGGCATCAAGTGGCGCCCGTCATATGTGGCACCTTTGCACGTACACATGAGCGAGAGTGCCTGCGTTACGAGAGCTTGCAATCTCACCCGTTCTTCCAACCTCTCCCTGCCCTGCTCGCGTGCATCCCTGCCCCAGTTTCGTCGAAGGACAACCTGGGGACCAACTACCGTCGGGCAGCCAAGACGAAGATGCCATCGAGTACCTTCTAAACGGAGTTTACCACACGATATCCAATACCGGAAACGAAGAGAACCCGATCGAATTGGAAGAGAGGCGTGGCGGTGAGGGGGGGGATTCGGAGGACGAATCTGGGGAGCCGTCACCGGGGAGAGCGAGGACGGCGGGAGTGGGAAGCAGAAGACCACGGAGGGAGCAGTAGAGCCACAGGAAAGCAAGGGAGATGACTCACCGGGCGGTGGGGGGGGGGGGATGAAGGAGCGAGACGGCGATCAGCAGGGCGACGGGGATGGCGCACCCTCCGAAGCACTCGCAGGTGAAGAGGGAGGATTTCCGGAGAGGCCGGAGAAGTGGATTCACCCGTTTCTCCTAACATTCTGTGTGATCGGAAGGCCTAGCAGCAGCGAAGACCCTGACCTCCGGACCGCACGCAAAACGTCCGGCCCCAAGGGCCGCGGAGCCTCAGGGCCGAAGGGTCGCGGAGGAACGCGGAAGGCGAAGAAGGGGTCTCCCGCCACCAGCGACGAAAGCGGGTCGGAGGCGAGCGGTGCGTATTCTGAGGTTGATCTGTCGTCCAGCGCAATCCGGATGTTCGCAGGGGCGGGCGAAGTTCAAAGTCGAGCGCCGGTAAAGAAGGAGACTGCTGCTGTAGCGGCCGCCAACGCGCAACTGCAGGCCCGCCGCGTCCAGGAGACCAACACAGGCAAGTTGGTGACGGCCGTGGAAGCTCTGTCGGCGGCTGTTGTGTCGAGGCAGACTTTGGACGAAGAGGCCGCAGCCAGGGCTCGATTGGCGGACGCTCCGGATGCCAAAAGGGCGAGAATAGAAGACCTCAAGGGGATTTTGGAGTATACACACAGCGAACCGAAGAGGATGGCACTGCGAGCCGCAATATCGGCCGCGTTCGAGAAGCCTGACAGCGAATACTTGGCCAAACCCATCTCGGCGGCGACACCACCCGCCGCAGGAGCTGCACTCCGCACGACCGCTTCTACGTCGCCTGCTGCGGCAACACTCGCGGCTACGGCAGGGGTCGGAGGCAGCCCTGCCCCCATGCCGTCCTCGCCGGCGGTAGCTACACCCGCGTACGCGGCCGGCGTAGCTGACAGCCCTACGTCCGTGTCATCAAACACTACGGCAACGCCTACTTCCTCTGCCGCGGTAGA